TGTTAAATTTGCACTACTTAATGCATAATCAGCATATTTTACAAATTTCTGTCAGATGAGTATAGACTCTTGCACGTGATTTTCAACAGGAGGTAGTAAACTGGACAGTAAAACAGTTAATTCATCATGATTGGACAAAAAGTCTTGAAACTCTTCTGCAAAAACAAAAAAACAAAATGAATTGTTATTACATTATCGATGTATACAAATGTTAGGGAAGAAATTCTTTCAAGAGAAACTCAAAAACTTTCTCCCTCCTCTTTTCTTTATTTTCTATACAACCGATTTAAAGCATAATAATCCTTGTAACTACTCAGCTCGTTTAGGTCTTACTATTTTGAGTAGTTCTTTTGCTTATTTAAGTTCAATTTATTTTTTTGCTATATGATATTCTATGTATTAAGCAAAATAAAATGGTTGTTGTTGTTGTTGTTGTTGTTGTTGTCAAAGAACTACTTAGCTGGAAATATTTGACAGAAGGAATTAGGACTATTAGGACTATTAACACACTACTCTGACACAAACAAACAAATTCTTCACTTTTGCTCTCGACACTGCGGTTTTTAGTGCCTTTTTTTTTATCTTCGCTCTGATCTTCACTCATTCCAAATTCAGCAACATATCAAAAGAATCTAAAAAAGTGACTCCAGCTATAGGGCTAACACTTTGTTCAGGGAACGAACGAGCTAACAAGCGAACAAACAAACCAACCAACGAACAAACAAATGATCGAACGAAACAGCGAACGAGCGAACGAGCGCACGAACGCACGAACGCACGTGGGAACGAGCAAGCAAACGAGCGAACTAGCGAACGAGCCAACGCGAAGTCAGGAAAGAAGGAACGAATCAAATAAAACTTTCAGTATATCTAAAAACGTGCTCCATCAACTGTTTAAATGCTCACCGTTTCTGCTCCTCACGTTATGGTTATCAGAGTAGGTGTTGTCAATGATCTTTAAAATGCTTTTCAGAATATCTTCTTGTTTGCTACCACAAATGAAATTTTGTTTTGGCTTGCTGTATTCCTGTAGAACCTGAAACAATTTCCACGCTTCAGTTGAAGAGAAGGGGAANCGTGATTTTCAACAGGAGGTAGTAAACTGGACAGTAAAACAGTTAATTCATCATGATTGGACAAAAAGTCTTGAAACTCTTCTGCAAAAACAAAACACAAAATGAATTGTTATTATACTACCGATGCATACAGATGTTAGAGAAGAAATTCTTTCAAGAGAAACTCAAAGAACTACTTAGCAGGAAATATTTATTGACAGAAGGAATCAAGACTATTAGGACTATTAACACACTACTGTGACACAAACAAACAAAATTGTGACAAAATTGTGATAAAATTCTTCTCCAGTTTTGCTCGCGACACTGCGATTTTTGGTGCCGCTTTTATCTTCGCTCTGATCTTTACTCATTCAAAATTCAGCGACCTATGAAAGGAATCTAAAAACGTGACTCCAGCTATAGGCTTAAAAAACAAACAAACAAATGAGCGAACGAAACAGCGAACGAGTGCACGAACGCACGAATGCACGAACGCACGTAGGAACGGGCAAGCAAACGAACGAACTAGCGAACGAGCGAACGCGGAGGAAAGAAAGAAGGAACGAATCAAATAAAACTTTCAGTATATGTAAAAACGTGCTCCCATTAACTGTTTAAATGCTCACCGTTTCTACTCCTCACGTTATGGTTATCAGAGTAGGTGTCGTCAATGATCTTTAAAATGCTTTTCAGAATATCTTCTTGTTTGCTACCACAAATGAAACTTTGTTTTGGCTTGCTGTATTCCTGTAGAACCTGAAACAATTTCCACGCTTCAGTTGAAGAGAAGGGGAAGTTAAACGTTTAACACTGCGTTCACCAACACTAACGCAAGGTATTTGACTGGGGACTTTAAAAACATCTTAGTCGGAGTTCGGTGGACTTATTTTCGGAAGTGCTTAAGTACCATCACAAGAAAGTTTGCGTTTCAAAGATATTTGGGTTTAGATTTGAAAGCGGTGGCGGATCTAGGGGAGGGGCCCGAGGGGCCCGCTCCATCTCCCCCTTTTTTGGGTAAAACAAAAAAAAATCGCAGAAGGAAGAAAAGCTGGCAGTGCAAGCAAAAATAACCGCATCCCCCCCTCCCCTTCCCCTTAGCTCAAGGTCTGGATCCGCCACTGGAAAGTGGTGTTGCGTATAAAAAATGGTGTTGCATACAAATATATCAAAGATATGGCAAAATATGTTCAAAAATGGTGGGGGCGGATTTCATTGTATAAGCATTACAGATCTGTTATGTAAATCATCGAGCTGTAAAATGTCGCACTATACCTTTAATGCACTATCAACCACCTCCTTGTTAGCTGCTAACCTGACCAAACAAACCGATCCTATCAAATATTCTCTGAAGTCAACGACGCCTTGATTTTCCTACAAAATACAACACAATATCACCTAAAAGATCCTATCTGGATAGATTACAGACGTCAAAAAGAAGTTAGAAGTTTCAATTCTGGCATCAAGGTAATGGAATGAACTTAGCTTTCCAGGGCATGTAATTTATACAGTTGAGGAACATACTGGATTGTACTTAGTACGGAAGGGTTCAGTTGCTCTATTATTTGAGTAACTGTCTTTGCACAAATTAAGAGTAAGACTCAACAACATTTGTAAGATCTGTCCAGTTTGGGCAACTAGTAAGTGACCTGAATGTGGTACACACATCACACTACTGATCGCATGAGTGAACAAAATAATTAGCAACAACCTTTACTCCCTTGTTATAACGAAATCCTATTTTTTTCTAACTGCCTACTCAGACCTCTGTATCAGCGGGTATATAAAACACTATTAACTACTCAAAAAATGCGTAACTGTAGTGCATTAATTAAAGCCTTACCCTGTCAAAGATTGAAAATAGCTCTTTGACAGGTGATGACAGAGGTAACTTGTAATGCATTGCAAAATCCTTCAGTGAAATGCGACCATCCTTATCTGAATCCAGGACCACAAACCTCTTCAGATGTTCCTTTACACAGTCCAAGTTTATTCTAAAGAGGAATGAGAGACAAAGTTCTTGAGGTGCAGAACTTGTCATGCCGATCTATCAGCACAAAGATGTATAATATAGCCTGTTTCATAGTTTTGACATAAATAATGTTTAGACAACACGGCATGTGTCATCTTCAAATATTACCCTTTGCTGATCGACTTAGTGAAAAGGCAATCAACATTTCTATCCACCTCTTGATGCTACGGTTTAAAGCCTGGACACACGGTGCAGAAGTTTGTGCAATAATTAGCCTGCACCTGTGTGTCCACCCAACAATGCCGTGCCAAATATTGTAGACCGCAGTAGGAGGAGATTGTACAGGGCAAGCCATGGCTCTCTTCTTGTCTAGACCTGTCTACATGTAGGTCATGTGCGGTGCCTAATCATGAATCAATAATTATAATTAACAGAACTATCTTTCATACCCTAGTTTGCCTGCAGTAACCTTGAACTCAATGATGCCCGCTTCAGGTGGAAGGCCGTGTTTGACAGCTGCTGCCATAAGCAGAGTGTCCTCAAATGAGTGACCAGTCACTGGAAGATTTAAACACCTAACAGCAAAATGTTTTGAAAAATTGAAATAAATGGCTTTGAAATTTTGGCGATATATAACACAAAGT